TCCGTCTTTACGGCAAACGTTTTGGAAAATATCAGCGTTTCGTGTTCGTTTTGACTTCGTGTGGACGGGGCCTTAGGCAGGGTGCCAATATTTCTGTTGACCGCAAGTTTAAAGCAAAAATAAGTATGCAAATCTACCTATTGTACAATGCTTCACAGAAAAAGGATACAATTAACATCCCTAACTGCAGTAAAGCTTTATGTTTCCTCATTGGATTCAGCGCGTCGAACAGATCCCTGCTCTCCTCTCAGTGACTAATTCTTGGATGATAGTCACCTACACTAGTCTTAACTTTAAAGAAATACACTCCATACATTGCTAATATGGTAAATGACTATTCTAGCTGCAAATGTCTGGTTTTTGGTGCAATATCTACATAGGTGTATAGAGGCCCATTTCCAGCAACTATCACTCCAGTGTTCTAATGGAACAATGTGTTTGCTCATTGGCTCAGAAGGCTGATTGATAGTGATGTTATGAGATGAGCTGAGGCTTCGAGGCGTGTGTCTAGTAATGGAGGGGGTGTTTCCCCGAAGGGCGTGTCGAGGCGTGATTGATTTAGAGGAGGGGCCAAAATTGATGATGTCCGAGGCCTCGCCACCGTGATACCACGTGACCGCTTCGGGAAGTGATTCGGGATGCGCAGGAATTTTGAGAGGCATCTAAGCAGCCTCAGTGTTCAGTCAAGATGATAGAGTTTGGAGGAGAGCTGCTGTCAGTATGATAGTTTTTGGATAGATTCTAAGAATAGATTGGTTAGAAAAACAACCAATCTAGTTGCTTAAAAACTAATTTGGTAAGAAGAAACAATGTAATGATCAAAATTTGTGCTAACCACCAGACAAAGTCACTGTTAACACGTTACTATTAAGTAGTATTTTCTCCCTCCTATGTTCATCTACATAGGTGGTGTCATCTGTAAGATACAGGTTTTCACTCTAGAAGTTGATGGTTCAACACCTGTCTTTGACTTTTGAAAGTTGCGATTAAACTGGCTGATGAGACTAACTTGCATTGTTTTGCCCGAGTAAAAATATAGATTTGGTAAATTAGGTCGGTGCAGCCAAAAGATTGGTTTAACACAACTTCCAACCTGATTAAAACCAAAAAACGTGGAAAAGCTATCATGTTTGAAAAGAAATTACTTACACCTTTCATTTTGCTCATCATTGCCCAATTTGCACAAACACTTTCACTGTCTGCTTGAGTTTATTTCACTAAAATGGCAGAAAAACTGTGAACCTTAAATGATTGTTCAAAGAAATTTTGCACTTAAAAAAAATTACAAAATATTTTATTATACACACCAACCATAAACAATTTCAAGGGAACTTAAAAGGGGAAAAAAAGAAAAAAATGTTGCAAAAAAACACAGATTTTATTACAAACTGTAGTTCTACTGTCCAACAGTAGGTGGTGACATGTTCACATGAAGCCTCATGAACTGTGGGGATCGTTGAAGCAATTTGGCCAAACGGTTCAATGCCTCATGAGGCATGTTCACACATCTGAAAACAGCTTAGCTCCTTACAGAAGCTACTAAACTGACCTTCCTTTGAGCAGATCGAGTTCTGGAGCATCACATTTGTGGGGTCAATAAAACGCTCAAAATGGCCAGAAAAAGAGAACTTTCATCTGAAACTCGACAGTCTATTCCTGCTCTTAGAAATGAAGGCTATTCCATGCGAGAAATTGCTGAGAAACAGAGAATTTCCTACAATGGTGTGTACTACTCCCTTCAGAGGACAGCACAAACAGGCTCTAACCAGAGTAGAAAAAGAAGTGGGAGGCCGCGTTGCACAACTGAGCAACAAGATAAGTACATTAGAGTCTCTAGTTTGAGAACCTGACGCCTCACAGGTCTTCAACTGGCATCTTCATTAAATAGTACCAAAACACCACTGTCAACATCTACAGTGAAGAGGCGGCTGGGCTTCAGGGCGGAGTGGCGAAGAAAAAGCCATATCTGAGACTGGCCAATAAAAGAAAAAGATTAAGATGGGCAAAAGAACACAGACATCGGACAGAGGAAGGCTGGAAAAAAGTGTTGTGGACGGATGAATCCAAGTTTGAGGTGTTTGGATCACAAAGAAGAACGTTTGTGAGACGCAGAACAAATG